CGTGCTGCTCGCGCTAGTGGTCGCGGTTCGCGTCTGCGTCCTCCTCCTGTCCTTGGCACGCACCGGATGTCTCTGCGTCCGTCCACTGCTCCTCTGCGTGCCCCTTTGCCTTCTCCTCCTGAGTCCTCTCTTCCTGCGCTTTCCGACCCGGAGTCGGACTCTCTTCGTGCTGCCAGTCCTGCTGTCACGCGTCTTCTTGCTACTGTTGTCACTGACCCCTCTTTTGAGTCCACTGCTGCGTCTGCTCTTGTCGCTGAGCTCGTCGACTTTGCTGCTCGCTGTCGTCTAGACTACGCTGCTAGTCTTGTTGCTGAGTCTGCGTCTCTCGGTCCTGCGTCCGTCGGGGGTGAGTGTGCTCTTGGCACGGACGTCCTTGAGGATAGGCAGGAGGAGTTCCAGTGTCGGGCTGCTGCTTCACCTCATCTCGCGTCTGTACTACTTGCCCCTGAGGGAGACCCGGATGCACTAGACATCCCGACTCCGCGTTCTTACGCGGAGGCCGTAGAGGGTCCCTACTCCTCTCAGTGGCAGGCAGCTATGGATGCAGAGATGGCTTCCTGGAAGTCCACAGGCACCTACGTTGACGAGGTTCCCCCTCCTGGGGCGAACATCGTCAGTGGCATGTGGATCTTCAGGGTGAAGCGACCGCCTCGCTCCCCACCTGTCTTCAAGGCGCAGTACGTTGCTCGTGGCTTCAGTCAGCGGCAGGGAGTTGACTACTTTCAGACCTTCTCTCCCACCCCGAAGATGACCACTCTTCGGGTGCTGCTGCACATAGCCGCTCAGCGCGACTACGAGCTTCACTCTCTTGACTTCAGCACTGCTTTCTTGCAGGGCAGCCTGCACGAGGAGATCTGGCTGCGCCGTCCGCCTGGCTTCACTGGGACTTTCTCTCCTGGCACCCAGTGGAGCCTCCGACGGCCAGTCTACGGTCTCCGCCAGGCACCGCGTGAGTGGCACGACACACTGAGGACTACGCTTGCGGCTCTTGGGTTTGCTCCCTCTACTGCTGACCCGTCGTTGTTTCTGCGCACCGACACTTCTCTGCCGCCGTTCTACATCCTCGTGTACGTCGACGACTTGGTCTTTGCCACTGCTGACACTGCTGGACTCGCCTACGTGAAGTCCGAGCTGCAGAAGAGACACACGTGCACAGACCTGGGTGAACTGCGCAGCTACCTTGGCTTGCAGATCACTCGGGACAGAGCACGCCGCACCATTACCTTGACTCAGTCACACATGGTGCAGCAGGTCCTTCAGCGCTTCGGCTTCACGTACTCCTCGCCTCAGGCCACTCCTCTGGCTACTCGCCACTCGCTCTCAGCTCTGCCTTCGGATGAGTCCGTAGAGCCGAGTGGCCCGTACCCAGAGCTTGTTGGCTGCCTCATGTACCTGATGACCTGCACTCGACCTGACCTTGCATACCCTCTTAGCATTCTTGCACGCTATGTTGCTCCTGGGAGACACCGACCAGAGCACATGGCTGCAGCGAAGAGGGTGTTGCGCTACTTGTGCAGTACGTCGGGCATGGGGCTAGTGCTTGGAGGGCGGAGTCCAGTGGTCCTCACTGGCCACGCGGACGCTTCTTGGGCTGACGACCAGGCTACGCAGCGGTCGTCGCAGGGGTACACCTTCAGTCTTGGTTCTGGCTCTGTCTCTTGGCGGGCTACTCGCTCGTCTTCTGTTCTCGGCTCCAGTTGTGAGGCTGAGATCTACACCGGGGCCATGGCTGCACAGGAGCTTCGCTGGCTCACCTACCTGCTGACTGACCTTGGAGAGGTGCCTCGTTCTCCTCCAGTGCTGTACGTAGACAACAAGGCCATGCTGGCCTTGTGTCGAGAGCAGCGCTTGGAGCACAGAACGAAGCACATTGCTCTCCGTTACTTCCTTGCTCGTGAGCTGCAGCAGCGTGGTCAGTTGCGACTTGCGTACGTGGCCTCTGAGGCCAACACTGCTGATGTTTTCACCAAGGCACTTCCGCCTTGTGATCATCAGCGCTTCTGCACTCAGCTGGGACTTGTACCTTTCCTACCTCACTTGCTCACCTCTTGACCTTGCTTGTACTCTTGCATATATATATATACCTGGTCTTGCTTGTTTAGCCTTATATATATATATGTCTAGTCTTGCATGTGAACTGGCCTTGTGGCCTTGACCTTGTGCTCGGACTGTGTGGTGACTTTGTGATCCACCCTGAGCTTTGCTTTGCTTTGCTTGACTGGTCTTGTGACCCTTTGTTCTCCCCCACTTTGCCTATGGGGGTGTGTCAGAACTTATAGCTTATGCTTTTGTGTAGGCTATAGTGGGGTATCCCATAGGGGGTACAACCCAATTAGGGTTGGTACTTGTACTCACACATTTCATAGTTCACTCATTCACGTTCCTACTTTCACAAAAACCTGCTCAAGAACAAGCTGGGCGTGGAGGTGTATGTGAAGGGCAACCCGCTGATGCTGAAGAAGGCGTCCCCGCAGACGTGCTGCAACACGTGCACGAGGTACAGCAGTTGCACGTACTGGCAGTACATCCCCGACATCACGATCGACGGCAAGAAGACCGAGGGTGCGTGCTACCTGGTGCACGACAACATCGACTACTCGTGCGGCGAGCTGACGGTGCAGTACGCGACGGACTCGAAGCCGGTTCATCTGCAGGTGCGCACGGGCGGCGAGTGCAACCCTGCGGTGAACATGGTGAACAACCTGCATCTGGTGGGCGTGTACGGTACGCACTTGAACTTCAACGGGCGCCCCAACAAGGCGTTTTGCATGCTGACGGACAAGGACCTGCACGTGAACATGCTGCTGCGCGGGTACTACTCGGACGACACGGAGAACGTGGCGCTCGTTGTGGACGGCAAGGCCGTGCACACGTGGATCAAGGAGCTGGGCATCGTGTGGTTCGCCAACGGCGCCGACCACAAGGTGCGGCTGGCGATGCGCTCTGGCAAGCAGCAGGAGCGCGGCGATGGCATCATGAAGACGATTGAGATCGACGGCGAGGAGATCCCGAGGATGAGCGTTGGCGACGAGGTGACGACGGAGGGCGGTCTGACTGTGCGGTTCCTGGCGCTGGAGAAGGAGGGCCTGTATGACATGGACTACTACACACTCACCATCGACGGTCTCGTGGCGCTCGACCTGCGCCTGCGCATGGCCAACCCCAAGCTGCTGACGCCCAGCGAGGCCGAGGCGCACATCAACGTGGGGATTGTGGAGCTGGAGCACACCGACGACGTGCATGGCGTGCTAGGCCAGACGTACCGCCCCGACCACGCTGCTCGCGCCGCCGACTTCCAGCGCCTGATCGCAAACCTGAACCGTCCCATCTCGGCCGACAGCCAGGAGGGCGCTGGGTTCCTGGACGGCACTCCCCGGCTGTACGAGTTGAGCTCCGTGCTGTCCGTGGACTGTGCGCAAACCGAGTACCACTGCGCCAAGCAGCTCAGCCCCGTCGAGGACTTCCCCATGGAGCCCCTCAACTAGACGCACGCACCCTCTCGGAAAATCGGTGGGCTTTGATTTGGTAGGCTGAGCCTCGTCGAGGAGTTCCCCAAGGAGCCCCTCAACTAGATTGGATCCCAGTTACCTCCTTAGTTACCTTGGTGGGCTGTGACTTGGTGGGCTGATTTTATAGAGCATCCCTTGAATGTTAGGTATCAAAATCGATACTCCTGTCCATTAATATAATATGAAATTCTTAGGTGCTTAATTATATTTCGTTGGCACCTCTGTTACCCTTCTACTTTTACCAATCTCTTGTCCAGCAAAGATAGTATTGGTGACTTGTGTCTGGAAGGAAGGCGCTGGAATAGAATCTCTCCCATTTCTCCTACAGATGCTACTGCTGGGCACCACAGTCCATTCATACCGTGCCCTCGTATGCTGAAGCTCCTTTGCTGTGAATTCACTTCCCAGCTTACCGGTATCAGACATGTCGGAACGTTTGTACTCCAATTGCTGCAGCACCTGCGAGCCTTGTTGCTGGTCAAGGAGCCAGGGGCGCCAACCACAAGGTGAGGCTCGATGGATGGGATGCTGTGGTCGGGGCCCCACCCCGGAAATCAGCGATAAAAAACTGGTTTACAGCTTGAATTCACAAGAGCAACTGTATTTGAGCTTGAAGTGGTACTGAGACTTCTTAAAGTTCTGGTAGCTGGAACAACACGGGCATTTCTTGTACACCCTTGTGTGCAAGAATAACCTACACCTAAGGGCTACAATTAGCTGGCTGCAGCAGCCTTGGCTGCTGCCTTAGCTCCTCCTCTGGCTCTTGCTTTTGCCCCTCTAGCCGTTGCAGGTTTCTGTGGGGCCTGGTTTCGAGAGATGGGCTGAGTGTTACGCTGTAACCACTGCAGGGGTGCTCCGGACAGCAGAGGGGAGACCTGGAGTCGATGGGGCCAAGGGAAGAGGTGCAGGTGATGAGGTGAGGTGAGGTGAGCCGCCTGTCCACCACAGCAGTGCACGGGAGTTTCTGACGGCAGAGGTAGATGCATACTACTTGGTTGGGCGAGGTGATTCAAGCTCATGTGCGCTCACCTCCCTCCCACTCAGTGCCCCACCCACACTCAGTGTTCCACACTCACAGTGTGTCACACTACGCAGTGTTCCACACTCGGTGTCCCACCCACATGCACAATACCCCATACTCCCAGCACCCCACACTCCCAGCATCCCACATTCCCAGCACCCCACACTCACAGTGTCCCAGACGCGGTGGTGATAGTCGTTGATCCACTTCACCTCTGCATCGCTCAATAGCTCCACACTCACTAGCTTTGTCTACGGGCGTGGGAAGGGGGAGAAATGAAGGGAGCATGACATTTGAGACGTTTAAAAAATCACACTCACTGGCTTTGTCTGAGGCCAGGGGAAGGGGGAGGAATGAGATTGGAGGAATGAAGGGAGTATGTGAAGTGTAACCTGGCTGCTAAGACTGTTCAGAGCGTATCATCTTTGAGTTTTGAGACTTCTCACATCTTGTGAGGTGACTAAGATCCTCTAAACCTCATCACCACTCAAATGCACCGCACTCGACTGCACCGAAGTCAAATGCACCGCGCCCAAATGCGCCATATGGAGATGGTTGAAATGAGAAGGGAAGAGCCTCTGCTCTGAGACAGGAGAGAGAAGTACCTGAATTGGAAAGAGCTTCGCCCTCACCGTCTGCCCCGCGAACTCGATCGGGTGCACCCTCATGGGCGCTAATGGGGGTGGAGGTCCCTGGTGGGAAGACAAGGTTGGGACGGGGAGTGGAGGCAATGGGAACGCACAGGCGGGAGGCAGATTAGTCTGAGACTTGTCAGCTCAGCTGCTGCAGCTTTGCCCTCACCGTCTGCCCCGCGAACTCGATCGGGTGCACCCACATGGGCGCTGATGGGGGTGGGGGGCGCTGATGGGAAGCACAGGGGGGGCGAAAGGGAGTACAGACGTTTGAAAAAGCAGGGTTGCTTCTGCTGTGCGCAGCAGTGATATCAATTGACCCGTACCCCCCCCCCCACACCACCTTCCCCTGGCTTTCCCACCCAGCACACACGCACCTCCGCCCCCCACACGACGTCAACAGGGTTGCTCTATCGCAGCAGCGGGATGATCGACCCCTCACACCCCCCCCCCCCCCCCCCCGCAGCACACCCACCTCTGCGGCCCCCACTGGCCCTCCCCCTCTCCCCAGTGACCTCCGCGCCCCAAACCACGTCAACGGGGTTGCTCTCGCGCAGCAGCGGCACCACCCCGTGTCCGCCAGCCCCCTCACGTTGTCAGCCGAATGCACAAACTGAAGGCGAAAGAGGGAGGGGGGAGGGAGAGAAGAGGGGGAAGGATGAACACATACGCACACTGCAAGCGTGACCGCCAGGCCCCTCACTTTGTCCGCCGAGTGCACAAACTGGGGGCGGCGGGATGGTGGAGGGTGAAGTGAGAGAAAGTGGGGGAGGGATACTAGACTCAAATGCTGTTAAAGTGTCTGCTAAACCCCTCACATTCTCGGCTTGCGCCAGCCAGTCCGCCACAGGTCGCGTTCCAGGCATCGCCCCATGGCTACCGACTCTATCTCCGTCTGTGCCACCTCTCTTCCCCCGCCCTATATTCAAGTGACTTCTGAGAATTCTCAAAAGCCACAGGACGTGTTCCAGGCATCGCCCCATCGCCCCATGGCTACCGAATCTATCTCCATCTGTGCCACATCTCTTCCCCCGCCCCCCTTATCCAGCCTCCCCTCGCTCCACACTCTGCTGCCCGGGCGCACAGCTTCTGCCAGCCAGCCCGCGGCATAGGGCACGCAAGCCACCCCCCCTTTATCAGTACCGACTCTAACCCCCGTCATTGCCATTGCCACCCCCCTTTCCTCAAGCCCTTCCTGCTGTGAATACCGGATCAACGCCCACTCTGCTGTCCGCGGGGAGCACTTCCGCCAGCCTCCTACCCCAAGCCACCGCCCCCTATTTCCCATCCTCCATGTTGTTTACCGGGTCCACCCCCACTCGCCCCTTTTTCCCATCCTCCATTCCACTTACCGGGTCCACCCCCACTCGGCTGCCCGCGGGGAGAGCTTCCGCCAGCCAGTCCGCGACGGAGGGCACGCCGCGCATGCCCACGCGCATGAGGTCCCAGCCCGGCGGAAGCTGCTGCTCCGCCTGCAGGAAGTAGCGCCCGTTCGTCCACAGCAGCGCGTGCTCGCGCGTGACCATCGCCGTGCCCGCGGAGCCCGTGAAGCCCGAGATGAACGTGCGGCGCTCGAAGCACGGCGCCATGTACTCGCTCTGATAAGCAGGGGGGGGAGGAGGGGGGGGGGTAAGAAAGAATGTGACAGTACCGCTCTCTGGTTACCACCGCCGCGCGTGGCGATGGCGCTGGTGTAGATGGCACAAGGCCATAACAAAAGGGCCGAGAGTAGCATGCTTATATCGAGCAACGAGGTGAATTCTGTTCGGAGCCTAGAATGCGCAAGTTACAGGAAAGTAACCTGGTGCGGGGCTTCTGACGGGATGATTAAGGCGTTGACGCCCTTCCCCCCATCCACTTCCGCCATTTCTTCCCGTAACCGGTGCAAGCGTTTCTCCAGCTCCTTCCCCCACTTCTGCGCCTTCTTCCCCACATCCTCCGCTTTCTTCCCTGCATCCTCCGCTTTCTTCCCTGCATCCTCCGGCTTCTTCTCCGTATCCCCCGCCGCCGTATTCTCAGCTACATTCTCCCCATCTGCAGCTGTTTTTGCGTCGGCAGAAGGAGAAGAGCGTTCGGCGGAAACTTCCTCAGCACCGAATTTCCGTGCGCGCGCAGAGCAGGTGAGGAATCGATGGCGAGATTCGCTACCGGAAAACGCGGCAGGTGAAGCGGCGAAAGAGACGGACAGAGTTATGGTGTCAACGGATGGTGCATCCGTGATGACTGGCGCGAAGAACGGCGTTGTCGCCATGCTTCAGAAACGTTGCCCGTGGTTGGTGGCGATTCACTGCGTGGCGCATCGGTAAGGTTGCACTGCACTGCTTCCGATCGTATTGTACACCTGTCCCCTCCCCAACCATACTCACCCACGTCTCGTGCTTGTGCAGCGAGGCATTGGCTGCCAAGTGTTGGGCTGAACGCCCTAGGATCTTTTGGTAGAGTTAAAGTCTGAGTAAACGATGTAGTAGCGGAAGCGTTTTGAATAAAGTCCTTGAACCACCTTGCGCTAGTACGTGAGTGCAAATTTAGTTAATTAAAGCAAAGAGATACAAGGATATATATATGAGTACAGAGAATATGAAGAGACATAATTGTAACTACTTTACTGTTGCGGTTCGATACAGTGCGACTCGGGCAACTGCTCGATGTCGAGTCAGTTGTGTGTCCTTGCTGTCGCGCTGCATTTGTCAGGTCAAAGTTCGCTGACCTTTGACTTTCTCGTATCCTCCAGCGGTTACATCAACCTCCGAGGGTTGACTCGCTGGTGCTTCGATTTGCGCTGCTTCGCTTGTGTCTTAAAGTTTCGACACGACAGAGGCGCTTTAAGACTTATTGTTCCCAACACTCCCCTTCGCTTCTGGAGTGTCGCTGATGGTGACGTGGCCTTGTCCAGTCAGCAGCATGCAGTACTCGAACTTCTGTTTTCCGAGCTTCTTGGTCAAATAGTCGGCTGCCATCTCGGACGTGGGACAGTAGGATAACTCGAGTTTTCCTTTCTCGATCTCGTCTTTCACGAAGAAGTATCGCAGAGCGATATGCTTTGTTCTGTTCGCGAATCCGCTTTTGTTGGCGATGCGAATTGCAGATTGGTTGTCGCAGAACAGGGTGAAGTTGGGTAACTCAGCTAACTTTGCTTCTTCCAGCAGTTCGCGAAGGTAGAGTCCTTCCTTGGTGGCTGAGCAGAGGGCGATATATTCTGCTTCAGCTGAAGAGAGAGCGATTAGTTCCTGCTTACTCGACTGCCAGGAGATAGGTCCGATAGGCTCAAGACGATAGACGTAGCCAGTGCGAGAGCGCCTGTTATCTGGATCGCCGGCATGGTCGGCATCGACATAGCCGATTAGTTTCGTTGACGCAGCTTCGTTCTTGTAGTAAGTTAGGCCGATCGTCGGCGTGCTCACGAGATAGTGCAGTGCGCGATCGAGCTCCGCTAGATGTTCTGCTTCAGGCCTTTTGAGATAGGTAGCGAGTTGACTTGCGGAGTAAGACAGATCTGGGCGGCAGGTGACGGCTGCGAAGAGAAGGCATCCCAGCTTCTTCTGGTAGTTTCGTATGCCGGCGGGTTTGAGTAGGGCGGAACCTCCTTTGTCGTTCCCTGCCGTGTAGCGGTATGGCGTGGAGATGGCCGTTGCTGTGATCATAAAGCGTTTGGCGATAGTGTCGGCATATTTTTCGGCGATGAGATAGGTCGCGTTCTCTTCTTCGCGGATGTTGAGGCCGAGGTACTGAGTGACGGTAGAGGAGACCGTGAGTGTGAGGTCCCTCTGCAGCTCCCCTTCAAACCAGATGGTTATGTCGTCGGTAGAACCGATGTAGAGTAGATCGTCGACGTAGACGATCAGCAGGATGTAGTCGGCGTTTTTGGTGAGTCGGTACATTCCTTGGTCGTGAGGTAGTTGGCGAAATCCGATGCGAGTGAGGCGAGTGTGTAGGTGCTGTTGCCACAGCCGCGGGGCTTGTTTGATTCCGTAGAGCAATTTCAGTAGCTGGCAAACCTGGTTGGGTTCTCCGTTAGTACCGTGCGGTAGTTCAACGAAGATTTCTGCGTCGACGGGTGCGTAGAGGAAGGCGTTAACGACGTCGATTTGCCGCAGTTTCCTTTCCTTCACGGCGGCGATCGCGAGGAGGATTCGGAGTGAAGTATGTCGGCAAACCGGGGCGAATGTCTCGGTGAAGTCTCGTCCGTGTTCCTGATCGAATCCACGCACGACCCAGCGTGCTTTGAATTTCTGGATTGTGCCGTCTGCCTTCGTTTTGATGCAGAAGACCCATTTCCCGGTGAGAATGGTCTTGTTCCTTGCCACGCTAACAGGAACGACTTTCCAGGTGTTACGTTCCTCCAGCGCCTTTAATTCTCTGTCCATGGCTTCACGCCATTTCTCCCTGTGTTCCCCCCCCAGAGCCTGCTGAACTGTCGCAGGCTCTTTAAGAAGAGCGTTGCCGTGGACTGCGGTGACGAGGCCGAGAATCTGCAGTCCACTCTGTGAGTAGCGGGGGAGTGTTGTGTCCTTGGGATAAGCTGCTTCATCTCCCGCTTCTGGGTCGGGTATGAAATTCGGCCGTATCCAATCTGCTTCGTTGGTGTTGACTATCGCAGGTGTTACGTAACCACTGTCGGCGAAGTGGTAGAAGACTTCGGCGTTGGCGCTTTCGCGAGGGTTTTCTTCGTCCATGGGGACGTTGACGGAGCTGAACGGGAGAGGCCCGGCTTCTTCTGATGCGTTGTCTACATTCTGCTCGTCCCAGTCTGCTTCGTCCGCTGCTGAGGCGAAGGCTCGGTCACCACGAAAGCCACCTGTGGGATCTTGATTTTCGTGCAAGTTGGCAAGGTACGTCTGAAGTGTGAGTCGTCTGTAGAAGATTACGTCACGTGCTGCTACTGTCTCCTTGGAGTGGACGTCGAAGATTTTCCACGCGTTGTAATTCTTTTCGATGCCGAGGTGTAGTCCCCACTGTGCGCGTTGTGAAAATCTTCCCGCTCGTGCCTCTGAGGGTCGGTACTGTACCATGCACCCGAAAACTCGTAACATTTTTGTGCTGCCCTGTTTCCCTGTCCACAGCAGATGCGGTGATGCGTTGTTCGGAAGGGAGGACGACGACATCAAGTTGTGCAGCATGACAGCGTGGTCCATTGCTGCAGGCCACTGGTGGTTGGGTAGCCGCATGCCACGTAACAGTTTGCGCATGCTGTTCTGCAGAGTCCTGTTCATTCTTTCTGCGACACCTTGCTGCTAATGGGCGTAGGGAAGGGAGAGAAGCTGCTTGATTCCTCTTTCCGCCAGATACTGCTTGAATCGCTGAGAGGTGTATTCTCCTCCTCCGTCTGACTGGAAGCTTTTCAGCTGTGCTCCCGACTCTCTCTCTACTACTGGTAGCCAGGCGGCAAACGCTGCGAGTGCCATGTCACGGCTGGGTAGGTTAAGGTGCCAGACGTATCGAGTGGCGGCGTCGATGAAGGTGATCGTCTAGTTGTAAGTAACTTGTCTTGGTTCTCGATTGTAGAGAATATTGTTGTACACCTTCTTGAGTGGTGCGTACGCGGGTGCGCTCGGGTTGTGGTGAGGAGTGAACGGTCGATGTGGTAAGTCGGCTTCTGGGCAGGTAAGGCAAGTTCCTCGTGCCCGTTGAAGTTCTCTGTCGTCGGGTAGTAGTAATGAGTCCTTGTCCAGGACTCTTGCTCTTATTGTGTTATTTAGCACAGTGTTGCTTGGATGTCCCATGCGTGCGTGCCAGATGTCTTCGGAGGCGCGATGTCCGGGTGAGCGTCGATATGCGTCGGAGTTGGAGTAGAAGCTGGCGACGAAGTTTGCGCTTCTGTGGACTTCTCGTTGAGTTGGGTTCAGCTGCTGTGCGGGTGTTGGTGGTCCTTCGTAAACGAGAACTGGTGTCGCTGCTGCTGACGATGGTTCTGCTGCTGCCGATGATGTTTCTGCCGCTGCCGATGTTGTTTCTGCTGCTGTCGATGATGTCTCTGCTGCTGCCGATGTTGTCTCTGCTGCTGCCGATGTTGTCTCTTCTGCTGCCGATGTTGTCTCTGCTGCTGCCGATGTTGTCTCTGCTGCTGCCGATGTTTGTATCGTTACTAACGCACGTGTTCGTTCTGCTTCAGGGATGGTGTGCGAGTACTAGAAGCCTTCCGGACTGAAGTCTGGATCAAGATCTGGAGGGTGTGTCCAGTCACAAAAGTTCACGATGGCGTCGCTGTCTGCGGTGCCCAGGTCTGGGACGAAGTCAAGGACGAAGACGTTGTTCTTCAGGACCGCCTTTCCGATGTAGAGGCCGCCCTTCCCGTGGTACAGTTTGAACTCCTGGGTGGTACTGTCGGCTTCCAGGTGAATACCTTTCGCCATCAACTGACTGACGCTCAGTAAGTTGTAGCCGAGTCCCTCTGCTATTAGGACTTTCGACATTTGTAGGACGACGTTTGTGTCAAACATTATACATGTTATGCTTGTGTAGGCTACAGTGGGTTAGCCTATAGGGGGTACACAATTCTAGGGTTTACTACTTGTACTCATTTCACTTCTAGTTCATTCATTCCTGTTCGCTTATTCTCACATGGTATAGAGCGGGTCCTTCTACGGACCGGTTTTTTTTTGGCCCACCGAAGCGCCCCCCGAGGCGCGATTTTTTTTCGCGACCCCTCGGGTCGTCATTTCCCCTGCGGCCCCGCCGCCTTCACTGACGCGGCCCCGCCGCCCTCTCTGACGGGGCCCCGCCGCCGGCCCTTACGCGGCCCCGTCGCCGGCTCTCACGCGGCCCCGCAGCCGGCTCTGTCGCGGCCCCGCCCCGGCCTTTACGCGGCCCCGCCGCCTGCTCTCACGCGGCCCCGCCCCGGCTCCTTCGCGGCCCCGCCGCCTGCTCTCGCGCGGCCCCGCCCCGGCTTCTACGCGGCCCCGCCCCGGCTTTCACGCGGCCCCGCCGACGGCTTTGTCGCGGCCCCGCCGACGGCTTTGTCGCGGCCCCGCCCAGGCCCTTACGCGGCCCCGCCGCCTGCTCTCACGCGGCCCCGCCCCGGCTCCTTCGCGGCCCCGCCGCCTGCTCTCGCGCGGCCCCGCCCCGGCTTCTACGCGGCCCCGCCCCGGCTTTCACGCGGCCCCGCCGACGGCTCTGTCGCGGCCCCGCCCAGGCCCTTACGCGGCCCCGCCGCCTGCCCCCGTCGCGGCCCCACCCAGTCGCGGCCCCGCCCCATCCCGGCCCAGCCGCCCCGTCGCGGCCCGGTCGCCTCCTGAGAGGCCAGCAGAGGGGTGG